TATATATATATATATATATATATATATATGTATATATATATATAGGGACACTTGGCGCATCTGTAGCAACTTACTCTTCATCGTCCAAACTGTTGTTTATAACATATGGTAGAAGAGCAGAAGATTTATGATTTTATAATGAAACATGAAACCTAGTATTCCTTCCTTTGAACCAGTCTATCGAGAAATCACTGAGGCGGTGTTATGTACATGCAGATTCGGTCCTCGTGTATGTGCTATATTTATACCGAAATGTGTGGTTGCGTGACAGTCGGAATTTGAACTTCACGAGAAATTTTGTATTTACGACAAGACGACTTTGTTTTCGCATCCCTTTGTATAGCTCAATACGTGCATTCATTTCCGTAGGTATCTCTAATCAGGCCGGTAGTCGTTCGTATTGGGGTGGTTGTTGTAGCTTTGTCTCCGTGAGTACAGATTTATTGTCTCTGTCCGTATTGTTTGGGATACGTTGACTATGCTTGTGTCAGGGGTCACTCAACAATGAAAATCGGGTCTTCTTGACTACTCCTATCTTAAATTGAGGTCGGACAGTCAGCAGAATGGTCAATAGCACGATGCCAATGGGCCGTACAGTTTAGCATATTTCAATGGACAACCGCGTTTGTTAATTTGGCACTAAAGTTGAGCGATACCTAGTAGATTAGAGGCGGATCTCACCCTCCTTGAAAGTATCTAAATATACGCATAAAACGGACGAACACCTTGCGCGCAGACAATAGTTCTAACTAGATGTTGACTACACCTCACCTCTCAAGGTAGCATACATGTGTTGGGTTTCGATTAACAAAGCATGTGATAGGTATGAAATAACTTTTTGTATCATCGCTAAATGATTGAAAGTACGCTACATGGAAAAAAAAAATGCAGATGGTAGGCCTCAGCGCGCCGAGGAAATAGAGCAGGAAGTTGGTCTTCTGCTCCTCTTCGCACTTCTAAGAGACCTGTTGGATGACCAGCTTCCGTCAGCTTGCAATGTTCTCCGAAAAGGTAGGCTATCGCTTACCCTCTTGAGGATATATGCGAATCTCGGCATGGGCCTGTGCTCGAAATATATGGTTGGTTTCCCACTGCCGTGTGTGTGCATCTCTATAACCGTTTGAACACTTGAGCCAGTTGATAGTGAGTGCGCTTGCCAGCTCTATTTTTGGGTGAGCTGCAAAGTAGCAGGTGACTATACTATCATCGGGCGTGGCTGATTTGCCTGGAAGCTATCCCCGAGGCACTCCTGTACACGAACTGCGTCATATAGTTACCACCGCAATCAGTACACTGTTCGCCTACATCTTTGCTTTGACGCACAGTTATTAGTTGGTATTGTGGATTTAACTAAAATTGTGCACGTTGTTTTGAATTTTGGTATTCGCTACATATCAATACACAGTTACAGACATAAATATGTATATATATACTCGAATAAATATGTGTTCCTCTGTACTTGCTCATGCAGTTTTGGACGGCCTGTCTGTGGATACACTGATGACTGAGACGAACATAGGTTTTCTTCGTTCTGGGCTTGCGTCTTCCGCTTCCGAGGTGAAACTGCTATGTCTCGGTCAGATCAAAAAATTGGTGACCACAGATAAACATGTAGCACCACTTCAAGAGACAGATATATTCGGCGAAGCGCTGGTATATATCAGCCACGAAGAGTTGGCTATTGCCCAGGCCGCCGCGGGCATAGTGGCCAGCCTGGCGTGGACAGATTCAGGCTTAGAGTATCTGTGTGGGTCGGAGGTCACGGCTATTCTGAACGATCTCATGGATCCCGCTTTGCATGACGATGTGACCCGGTTCAGGGGTGAGTGGGCGTGTGAGAGAAGGTGATACATGGATAAGTTGTATTTAGGCCTTAGTCACGAGTGATCTTGGTTAAATCGACTTTATGCTGAATTGGATATCAAAGTGAAGGTACAGAGAACGGCTAGAAAGGCTCCTATTTCTAGTAATCCGCACCAGTAATTTTGTCACCACACATAATATAAGCATTATATCGTTTCGATGCGTGCTCCCTAATTACGATCGTCTTCACAATTAAAATTGTGCAATACAGTCTGTCAATTCCCCATTAACACAGCCCGTTAAACCTCAATGAAAACTTTATTTTTTAAATAATGCAGCCTATGATGCGGTGGTGGGCGCGGCGACGATCTCCTCGAAGGCTTTAAGGAATTTTGAACGCGTGCATCTGCTGGACAGAGTCAAAGCCGATCTGCTGACGGACGATCCCTTATTGCGCGTTAGCGTTGTGCAGTTGTTTGCAGAGGTACGTATATGCACCTGCTTGTTATGTACTGTTCTATGTGTACGACACGAATGCCAGTAGCTGGACTTTCTGGTTGATTGGAGAGTATAATCAGGTTGCTGTCTGCGTGTTGGGGCCATGCAGCCGTACGTATGAATGCAAATGTTATACTTTTAAATTTGTGCTTTATCAAGACTACAAGAATTCTGGAAAGGGGGGAGTGTGTACAAGACGCGAGAAAATTGTTTTCTCACGCGCTATCAGTCGCGTAATACAATTGTCACTCGTGTTGTACGCTCCTAGAAACGTTTTACAACGTTGCACATGCACGCAGTCTGCTACATTGGCACATAGTTTTTAAACCAGTCTTGTTTGTACTTTGTTGGTTCTCAGAATCCAGAGCAAATGATGCAGCGATAGTGAAGACAGTAATCTGTACGTGTAGTAATAGATGTATTGACTTGTATCCATGCATTGTATTTGTGTGTGATGTTGTGCTTACAATATTTCCCCTGGTGGGAGGACAATGCAGATGGGGCTACATCAATAAGAAATATGATCTGAGCCAGACATGAGCTAGTAGCAGCTTTCTCGGTGTTGCCTCCGCATATCCAAAATATAGTTTTTCCCCTACGGGTGTCTTTGCATTGACAGAGTTAATTATCCCCGTTCGACTCCACCAGTTAGAAACTATTTGGGAGCCACGTCTACATGTCTACCGAGCACCAACCCCAAACACCCGAGAGTGCACGCACACCACTTTAACTATGGTCTCTTGGAAATCACCTGCGTTCAATTTTTTCTCTCATTGAAAGTAGATGAGTGCTTCCCCCACCATCTATCAATTTTTGGTTGAGAGTGGTGCGCTATCCGAGCTATCAAAATCCGTCACCAACTTGGACGATCCTTTGACATCGTATATTCTCCCGAGCGTGCTTCATTTCTATGGAGGGCTCGCTAATTATCAGGTAAGAATCTGTGTCGTGTCTACACGCAGAAATACAACTATAGGTTCCTAACTACCATAATAATACATATATACAAATATATTCACATACAAATATATGTCTGTCGAATGTGCTTCGACTAGAATGAGCCTCACTACTCACGAAGTGCGAGCTGTGTGTAGTTGTTTCAAATGTAAATAGTCGGATTCGTGTTTATGTCTTTGCACCTGTATGTGTATGCGTATTGGCGTATGAAGCGATTTTCTGGGTTCATTGGCATTATATAATCATGTAAGTATTTTATAACAACACAAATGTATGTCAATTCGAAACCGTTGTACGCTGTGATGTGTATGCGCATTTAAATACATGTCAATGACTATATGATATACATAGTTGAACTTGGATTTCTTAACCACAAGCGTCTAGAGAACAGCCTGTACAGTCATGCCGCATGCTTCATAATTAGGCGTTGTTTCATAGCAGCGCTGTGAACTTATTAGTGAAGAAACTACAACTGAGGAGGAACTACTACTGAAGGACGTGTCTTGGGGCCTGTCTGCCTATACATGTGACTGACTACTTTTTTTACGCTTGGTTTATCGCATAGAGTGATCATTTCAAACAGATATTCAACGAGAACGATTTTGCAAGGATGTTTAAGTATTACCTTGTGGAATCGAATGACAACATGCTAAAGGTATCTCTTAATAGGTCATCATTATAGTGCGATGCAAGCGCATACTGTTTTCCACGCTTGACACAGAATGGGGTTTGTGTTCCTATAATTGGTTCGCTTCTAGTTTTTGAATGCCATCTAGCACGTGTATTTGAGATTAATGCACTCGTCGGATACGGCGCTGCCTTTGAGCGTACACAAGTGGTGCGTGCATTTGAGTTCATTTCAGATATGCTCTGACATACTATTATAGAAAGGCAGTTTTCATAAGTTTTCTTAATATAAACCTACCCGTAGCCTTTTACGTTAGGGACCATTTCTCCGCAAATCCTATCTTTTATCGAATCTCACCTTTCCCCTCCGCGATGTGTGGTATCGACCGCATACAGGCCACAATTATATCCTGTATCGGCACTATAGGCCGGTCAAAGGAGGGGCTGGAAGTGATGACTAGCCATCCCGAAATGCTAATTTCCATGCTTAAGTATTGTGTGGGGACGCAAACAGAGTTGAGGAACGTGGCGCACAATGCTCTAGCCTCTATGCTGAGGTAAAAAAAAATGGAGGTTGCGACTGATTTGTTGTGAGTTGGATTGCTGATTTGTATGCGCTCCTCATGAAGTGGCACAAAAATAGTTTGGAGATTTCTGTATATCTACATATATGTATGGTGGATACGCAGACTTCTGTGCTGTTTAGTTCTCGACCCTGCATACTCGAGGAAATGCCCGACTTGACACTTGCATTGACATTTACATGCTTCTTCCCTATTAATTTCCATCGTACGCAGATAAACATGTCAAATGTGCGTGTACCTGCATTATGTATTCCTCACTCCCCTGCAATGGCGACGCATGCACAGCCGAACAGACAAATACATATTTACAAGACGTATCATAGCAGGGCCCTGTCGATTGTCTTCGTGCGGCTCTCTCTGCGAAGGTCTACCGACTACTGTTCCTTGCTACCTTTACTAGATTTCTAATTTGACGTGCGATTATTGCTTTCATGTTATGGTTTGCTTTCCAACCTGTATCTCCTTCAGTGGGCACAATCAATCTCTCCAAATATGTACCCTTAGGTGTGCTGCTGTGATTCATCTGTTTTCCATTGTTCTACAGTCTATACTTTCTTAAGACGGCAATAACATATATCCTAACGGTCTATTTATTTCGTTGCATTTCGGCAGGTTACGTGATCCTTCCGTTGACCAGTACCAACAAAGCATATATGCTGGCCTTCCATCACAATCAGAGGCGGGGGGATTCGTTGGGTACCTGCAACAGTTAGTGAGACAGCCCTTCGAAGACATAAAGATATGTGTGTACAATGTATACCTATCTCTGGCTGGCCACGACTGGGGACGCAAGGTACGTCGTGGCAGGTCAATATCCATTCAACGCTTCTGTGTAGATTTGTGTCAATGCTGAATTGAACTCCTTTATAGTATCGGTGGCAAGTCGAAAGTCTGTAATTGTTGTCTCATCTTCGTCTTGAGTACATTACATTTTATATGTTGCAAAATGGCGCTTAGCAGGGCCTACTCTTTCTAACATTATACATAGAAAGACAGAAAAGCAAGCACACGAGACGTATTTTTGCGTGTAAGTGCTCTCTAGTGCTTATGTGTCTCATTTTATCTCGCTCATTCAATTGCTACTCGCCCCGTTTATTTTTTGTGTGCAGTTTCCAGTACTCACTTGCTGTGTTGAATATACTCCAACTTCAATAGGAACTTGTTTCTCAGCCGGGACTAGTAGAATCTCTGACAGACAAGCGCAATGATGTTAGCCATGAGGTTTCCTTAGCCAGATACGATGTGATTGATTTACTCTCCGAAACCGGCGCAGCTGAACTTAGTGATAAGGTATGTACAATTTTGTTCGTGTCTGTGAATAGGATACATGTGCTCGCGGTCGAGATTCCTGTATGTGGTCAAAGTTGTAGCAAATATTGTGAGCAACTGATGCAGTACTCAGCAGCCCAAACTCTCCATGCATGTGTGCCTTTGCATACTTAAAAATACAATGGACATGGGAAGTGGGACAGATCCCACGTATCTGTGTACGGTTTTTGCTTAAACTTAATTTAGAAATTGTAGTCGGTAATCTCAGCGTGTGGACTTGATAAAATTAAACGGTCATGATGCTCAATGGTTCACATTGTGCCATTGGCCATTGGGCCAAACCATGTGAGTATGAGCACTCACATTTTAATTGCGGCCTGACATCTATCCATTTATTTTTGTCTGCAATATTTTCTGCGAGTGTTCTGCACTCGGCTGCGTAGATACACAACTAAAGTATGGCTGTTGCTGTTTTGTAATGTATTACGTGTGTGCAGGCATTAGGAGATCTCAACACCGCACAGCAAGGTGGCAGACCTGGAACGAGAAGAGCTCAGCCGACTCTTGCCACTATGACCTAAGACTGTTCAGTTAAGTATAGAATAAATGCAACCGCTTTTGAGGCCTCATACTGAAGTAGTGGGAAAGATATATTGAACGCAGCGACTGACTATCTATCATCCCATAAATATATCGCGAGTACTGTCCGATATGCCAGTAGCGTGAAAATTTTGAACAATACATGGAGCTGAAGACTTACAAGATGACAATTAAACCTTAGTAGGAATACCGGCATGGGTAGTTGGTGGCTAGAGTAGCAATTGATCGGTTGTTATATATATATGCACCACATCATCACGATGAGTCGTATTCCACTGCAACTTTGGCTTTCAACTTTGGCATATGATGAAGATATTGTAAGTTGATATATTTTATTTTTGATAAGATAATATCGATGTCATGTAGCACAGCCTATCACGGCCATTGATCAGCTTACCATCGATATTTCGTTTTCACTTGTCAATTGGCATACTATACCAGTTGTATATACATATATTTAGATATGGAGATGACTCTAGGGACACACTAAGCGGAGGATGGTAATAGAACCAAGGACACTAGGTGCACAACTCCATTGCAAGCCTCAATATCTGCAGACAGTACTTGGGCGTCGTTAATGCCGACACCATCATTGTCTACTGAGACGGTGACAATATCTCCACTCAGCGTAGTCATGGCTTGACCATCCACTAACTGACCAGATGTGACCTTACCCTCCACTACGTGATAAAGTAGGATGTTAGTCAAACTCTCCACATTTTCGGGTTCCAGTAGACTCTCCACCGTTCCTGCGGGCAGCTTGTCGAATGCATCGTCAGTGGGTGCGAACAAAGTAAAAGTTTTATTGCCCGCCAAAGTTTCGGTCAAGTTGGCGGCATTTAAAGCTGTCGACAGCACTGACAATTCAGGTGTGTCGTCCACCAGCTCAGCAATTGTTTTGCACTCCTCTCCGGCTCCCGCAGAAGCTTCTAGCATATCCGATGTTTCCTCAGCCATACCTGACGAGGCTTTGTCCATAGTCGATGTTTCCTCCACCACACTTGACAATCCTTCGGGCGTATCCGATGATGCCTCGGGCATTTCCGATGGTTGCTCAGGCATTTCCGATGGTTGCTCAGGCATTTCCGATGGTACCTCAGGCATTTCCGATGGTTCCTCAGGCATTTCCGATGGTTCCTCGGGCATTGCTGATGGTTCCTCAGGCGTATCCGATGATTCCTCAGGGATAGTAGTCGAATATTCGGGCATACCAGAAGCTTCATCCTCAATAACAGGTGGAATCAGTACTGTCGAGATAACATGAACGACTCCATTACACGCCTCAATATCTGTAACTACGACCATTGCATCATTGATCATAGTACCATCGGCATTTATAGTGACCTTAGTGGTGTCGCCATTCGCCATTTCAATAACTTGTTTATCACTGAGATCACCTAACTTGACAGTTCCGGATGTGACGTGATAAAGCAGAACGTTCATAAGCGCCTCACGGTTATCAGCTAGAAGTAATGAATTGATGGTACCAGCTGGTAAATTGTTGAAAGCTTCATTTGTGGGTGCGAAAACTGTGTATACATCTGTACTATTTAGTGTCTCAACAAGCTTGGCGGCATTGACAGCAGCCAAGAGTGTTGACAATGATGGAGTATCTATTGCCAGTTGCGCAATTGTCTTGCATTCGTCAGATTCCCCCTCGGAGGTTTTATCAATCATCTCGTCCGTACGGACAGGTGCGCATATAGCATCATTTTGTTGAGAGGGCTTCAAGTTTAGTAGTTTAAGAGGATAGCCTCGGTGTTGCAAAGTTGATCTAGCTCGATTGTACGCTACTTGAGACATGCTCGGCGACCGACTAAGAATCCACGCAATTGCATTGCAGGTAGATCCTACAACAGTGTACTGCGCGCCAGTCATAGCATCGACTGCTTGATCTAAGATAAGATAATTTGGTGCATCACCTATGAATTTAGAAATATCATTCTCGCCAAATGATACGGATAATGCGCCTACAGTTGGGTCCTCCGCTGTTGCCTCTCCAATAATTGAATAAGGTTCTCCGTCTTTAAGACATGTGTTGTTCACCTGCACATTACCATCCTCTTTGATAAAGTACTCAGCGAAAGTGCATTCGCACCCTCGTTGAAACGATTGACGGGGAATATCTGTCACAGCTATTTCGTACCAGCGGCCTTGGTACGCTTCAAGGTCGAAAGGATCTACCACGTGTTGGCTTAGACACAACCAGTCAAGAACTCCCCTTGGTGTGGGCGTGGCCAAAGTGACTCCGGCAACCGTTAAGGAAGCGATAATAGCTTTACCAAAAATCATTTTTAAATATCCTGATGCGGACGACGTAGAGTATTTAGCAAGGCCAAGAATGACTATAAGCATGCTTAATAGTTCTCTCTTATATATACTTCTCTGTGCCAACAAAAAAAAACGTGTCTAAGCCTCTGTGCTTTCCTGCTGGTAGTACCGCCATCTACAGGCTGCAGCCCAAATCGCGGATGAGGTATGACTCATACATAGCAAAATTTCCTCTTTTTCCAGAATGATTATACCCCGCCTTTTTTATCGCGAGAAAGATCAAAAGAAGAGTTAACTCAAGAGTCAAGGGAGACTCAAGACTGAAGACTCCCCTGATGCCATATCTCATATTTATGTTGTGGTTTTTTTAATTGCTCTTATGTTAGTTTTTTTTTAAACAAACAAAAGACAAATGTTAAATATGTATTTATGTTGTATTTATTGTCTGATTTAGAAGGCTATGTATTAATTTGTATATAAATATATTTTAAAATAAAAATAAAAATCATCTAAAAAAAATTTTAACCAAACAAGTATTTATCTAAATTGTGAAAACAAGAAGGGTTTCTTTTCTTTCGTTTTTTATTGCTTTTTATTAAACAAAACCAAAATAAAAAGAGTTGATCTTATGTTTTTTTTACTATTTGTTTCTAACAAACCACCCCATCCACGTACCAAGAGAATTAAATCGGGCCGAAAATATAGAAGCGTTCCAGATTTACTAAATCCGGATTTCTAGCTAATCCCAATATATTTTGGCACATTTCAAGATAAAACACGGCTAGGACGCCGCAGGCACTGAAAGCGCATAATCAGAGGGATATTTCATTTTGTTGATAATCACGCTTATAAAAATATTGGTAAAATATCTGGGCCTTTTTTGTTTTGTTTTAAAAAACAAAACAAAACAAAACAAAATTATACAAACAAATGTGGTGTCTTTCTCTCTGAAATGAGGAGGGACTCCATTGGGGTCTACAAATTGGTCAAACAGCGTCACCGACGATTTTTGGGCACGGACAAAAAATCGGTGATAAAGTTGACGCTTTCAGTAATAAAACACGGATTATAGGGGTAGTTTACTTGTTTATATTCAGACATTCTTATTCGGGCCTATCTATTATTTTGTATAGGGTCTCAAATGGGCAAAACCCATTCCAGCCGGGAAAAAAGGCGTCACTGCCGATTTTTGGGGACGGACAAAAATTCGGTGATAAAGTTGACGGGGACTTAGAAAAGCTTACGCTTTCAGTAATGAAGTATTTCCTTATGTAATGCTAAAACCTGTGAAGGGGCCAAGGTCGTAGTACACGCAGAGCTTCTTCTATGAAGGTTCAAACGCTACATCGGAATCCTACAAAACGCGATTTTTGGGTCTAAATATACGTAATTAGTGAAGTTCCAAAGTTGTCACGTACATATATTGTCCAAACAATATCGTACAGTATGCATTCTTATAACCGTGATGCAAGCTGCAGCAGCAAAAATTGAGAAAAAAGTGTGTTTACGCCATGAGATGTGCCATATTATTGTTTGTACGATGAATCGCGTTTCTTGAGCTTTTGGTAAGATTTCACTACATATTCACCCGCAAACGATTATCACAATAACTTTATTATGGTTTAATTATGCTTATATAAGTATAACTAAAGTCTGAAAATCATAACGAAGCCATATAATGGAATACGCACACCAAATGGATGTTATTGATGGATATGCATGTACGTAAATGATTTTGAGTAAGTATAACAAGCCCTCTATACCACAATAATGAGTTCTGAACTAATAATACTTGTATTCATTATATATTAGAACCCTTATCTAAAGGTTCGAACTGCTAATACGCGACCTGGAAATCCAAGATTTGAAATGGTCGAAAAGTGCACAATCCTGTTCATAACTCAGATACAAAACTGTATGAACCACCAGTGGAGCTACATATCAACTTTATGCCTTCGCAAAATTCTTTTGAAATGATTCTAGAAAAAGCCTAGAAAAGATTAGGTTTGTATTCAAAACCGGATACATAAATATAGTGAATTAGGTTTACTTCTTTAAAATCGAGTCCTCTAGTCTATGGATGGGTTTTAGGGGTCACTCCGTCACTCTGGGGTGTTAAAAACGTAGTATGTATTTGCATAATCTTTTAAAATACAGATATTTGTATTATATATTTGTTGTTATTTTTTATTAAAACCCAAAAAGAGAACAAATTTTGTACGGTGTAAATACATATGTTCAGTTGTTCACTCATTTTTTTATTTTTTTTAAATGTACATGCATTCATAAAACCATTTAGCCAATGATTGGTTGAGAAAATATTCAGTCACCAACTCACCGCTCAACCCCCCCCCCCCCTCCCAAACTCCCCCAGTGAGCGAAAGCCAATATGTACATATTATACAAAGGGGTTTTTTTTCTTTTATAAACTGTGATCTGTGACATTGTCTATTTTGTTTTTAAAATAATAGACTGCTATTTTAGAAAACTATCTGTTAAAAATATGGCTTTTGTAAATAAAAATAAATATGATGTATAATACGTAACCGTATACGTTCAACGTAAACGTATAAAGTAGGTATTGATGTTGAAACTTGAAACGATATAAATATTAACTTATGTGGAGAAAGAGTTGGGGGTTTTTTTTTAAACCAAAACTTACTACTGTATGACGGTATGTATTTACGAAAAATAATTGGACAAAATTGAAGAAAAATATCATATTTAGCCCTCCAAAGTCTAAATTGATAGTAGGCTATGATAATATGTAAGTATTCCACCTCGAACCCAGATAATACACCGTCATCGAACATGTGGGAACGATTTAAACTTAACGTTTATTATAAACGTAAATAGGACAAGTTTGCTATCACTATTTATTTTTTAAATATGGGGCTTGCTTTTATTTGTTTGATTGTTTTGTTTTTCAAAACAAACTTAACATAAATACCAAAACAAAACAGAAGTTCAATAATGATCCGGAGCCGGTCAAAACTCCAAACTCCAAAGTCCAAACTAATTAATTTATAAAAGATAAAACCACTCTGATTTGAGATTTCAAATTTCAATTGTATTCTCAGTACGATATTTTTAAACTCTCTACTCTAAACACTCGGACAATAATAAGGTTTTCCTATACAAAACGGGTACAATCTTTTGTACTGTACACATGTGGTATTCTGCCAGGCTACTGGGGTCTGGGCCTCTGGGGCCTGCGCCCTGGCTCCTGGGGCCTCAGGGGCCAGCGCCGCTGGCGGTCTGGCCCTCTGCCCGGCCTTCCAGCTGCCGCCCTCTCTACTACTCACAGAGAGAGAGAGGCCTAAGGCACTAGTCCCTGGAGTGACCTGGACTCTGGGGCCCTGAGTCTTGGGGCTTAGGCCACTGGGCTCTGGTCGGGCTGAAACTTGAGACAAGTTGAGACTTGAGACTTGAGAGACGGCCCGCAGCCCGGCATAGGGCAATAGTCGCATAGCCGCATACCCGAGGCGGGGACGTGCTCTGTGGACACGGTGGTGTGTTCCTAATTTTCTAAGACCCAGATCAAACCAAACTCATTTTTTATGCCGCCCGGTAGAGTTGCTAGAAGTCTCTAGTAGGACCCGAGAGCCGAGGCCCCGCCGAGGCCGAGAGTGCGAGTATTTATTTATTTAAATAGCCGTCTAACGGCTATGATACTCAAGTACCAAAAAAAACCCCCCTATTTTAGTAGTTTCCGACAATCCGGAATATCTGACTAATTCATTCTGAATTTAGAAATAAGGGTTTTTTGTGCGTGTTTTTACTTTTTTGAATTTTTCATTGCCTTCTCTCTCTAGTAGAGATCTCATATAACATCTCACTGAGGGAACAACGGTAGGAACCCAAGTGGCACACAACACGCCGGGCCCATACACACAAACAAACAAATAATCATTAGTAAAACTGGATAGAAGCTAGAGATCAATCAGTTTTCTAATAAGCATCTAATAAATCCTAAAGCATCCAAGAAGTGATTTACTAATGACACAATGAGTGATCAATATAGTATTAAAACACAAGGCATTAACAGTGAAAACCTCACAAACACACTAACAGATACAGTTTTTTAAGTAGGGGGCAAGAGACATTAGATGGCACACACGCATACAAACCAGAGAAAACACGAGTGAATGCCAATCTCAAGAGCCAAAGGAAATGTATAAGTGATACAAAGGCACAACATAAACCAGAGTACACATATTGATTAAAACAAGGACAGAAAACAAATACTATACAAGGGAAATAGCACAACAATCGATTAGATTGGGAATATAAGCATCTAAATTAAGTTACAAGGGACATTCGAGAGTGATCGACTTACAAGTGACATATTACACCATGAACTACCATAGATAAGCTTTCGGTACAGCTCCTTGCAATAATAAGTGCAATAAATACAACTGAGTTCTACATGAGAAGCTTATTCAATTAGATTTTGGAAATAACATGGGGTCACAGGCGTTCGACACTTGCAAAGAGACGAATTCAAATCGATGACACAGATGACGCACATTAAATTATCGAAAAAGTGTACAATACCGACACGGTGATCTTCAAGATGGCAAAGAGACATTACAGACAGACATATAAATAGAAGCAGTCTTGCATACAAAGAGTACTGAGCAAGCGCACACAGAAACACGTACTAGGTGTAGTGCAATTAGCACAGACATGAATATCATAGGTCTGAAGTAGAATATATCAGTCTGGTACAAACAAGAATTTGTTATAGAACCGAACAACACAGATGTCTGGTATAGGGATAATATTATTTATTTAAAAAATGGCAAGTATGTATGATACAATGTATGAACATATGGTATGGCTCTCATAGTTGCTGTAGTGGTTCAGGAAAGATGGAACGCATATACTAGCAGTTCGGTACAAGACCGAACATCACACGTGACGTCAATAAGACTGAATATCACAAGTGGCCTCAATTAGACCGAGTATTTGATTAAGATCTCAAATGGGGAAAAAAAATCTTGGCTTCGAAATCATATGCCAAAATAAATCTTGTTGAAATCGCACGTGTTGAAATAAGTTTGACAAACA